CTGACTGACAGACTGACAGACTGACAGACTGCACTGCCCATCACACTCACTGACAGACTGCACTGCCCATCACACTCCCTGACTGACAGACTGACAGACTGACAGACTGCACTGCCCATCACACACACTGACTGACTTACAGACTCTACTGTCCATCACACTCACTGACAGATGCACTGCCCATCACACTCAGTGTCTGAGACACTGACTGCATTGCCCAACACACCCACAAACAGGTGGAGAGGCTAAGTTAGCACAACCAAAATCAGTACGTTTTTTTTCCCGATAGGTGGAAAGGGGGCACAGCAGAGTGCAGTTCTCTAGACATCAGCATCCAAAATATTAAATTCTGTTGACTTGCAGGTCTTTTGGGGTTCATTATGGTCTACCTATGAAAGGAAAAGCGCAAACGAGCACTGACAGAGCCACTGTATATTGGAGAGACCCAGCCCTGCGTAATTGGGGGCAGGGGGTCACTGACAGACCTGTTAATGTGCTGAATATGTTAAAGCTCAAAACACCGGAGCCACAGTGCTGCCAGCCTTTGCCTCACAGTCACACTGCCTTCAATTTGTTTTCATTAAGGGAGAGTAATGTAATGTTGTCCTGCCCCAGGCACTGTGTAATGAGAAGGATTATTAAATGATATTATAGCCATGGCCACTGACATACAGGCTATCCTGAGAGATACAGAGATAGAGGAGAGGTGGAGGGTGATGGAGATACTGGTGGAGAGATGGGGAAACAGAAAGAGAGATGGAACTACAGCGAAAGAGATGGAGATTCAGAGGGAGAGAGGGAGATGTAAATGGAGAAGGAGAGAGAACTTGTGTGTTACATTTTACAGCAGTTGGTGCTGTGGGAAAGAACCTGGTGAAGGGTCAGAGAAAGGTAGGGAAAAGAAAAGAGAGGTTCAGAAAGAGGGAGAGAGTGAAAGACAGTTGCCCAGGCTGTGGTACTTAGAGGCTAGAGCTCTCTATACACAGCTTCTGTGCAAACTGGATATGAGACTGAACAGCAAATGTAGGTTATAGGGAGAGCTTGAATTAGCTCAGGCCTTCAGGGACAGAAAGAGAAGGAGGGATAGAGGGAGAGAAAAGCATGTGAAAATTAAGTTTGCAGTGGGTAGCTTGTTTGTATCTTCCATTGGATTTATAGTACCGTGGCTTTCACTGGCCAGGTCCAGTGGTGCTGGTCCTCACCAGCTTGTGGACACTTTAAATCTCTGTTGTTCTGTGTGGTTTCTTACCTCTGTGCTGCCAGCTGGTCCCTGATTAGGTGGACTCTTTGAGACAGAAAAGGCCTTGCTGGACGTTGTCTCTGAATCACTCTGAATCCATTTTTTGTCTACCAAAGCTTCCACTGATTGGATGGATTGCACAGCTAATCTGTTTTTGTTCCTGACTTCTTGCTAAGAATTTGTGTTAATTAGAGGGATGTGTTAATTTATAGAGGCCGAAGGCAAGCTCATAATACTGATGACTCTTAAATAATAGCAATTTAATTACAGAAATAATGCAAATACAAAATATTCAAAATTGCTTTTCATTTGTGTTTAATTTAACAATATTCTAATGCTGCTTTGTGATAATTAAGGGACCATTTCAGCTTTCAAACAATTAATGTCTTGTCTTATGTGTTTATTTGTTTAACTGCAGAGGCATGGTAAAAAATCTATCCTGTCTCAAAGTGCACAGCTGGTCTGGGGCCAGTTGGCAGTGTGCTATGTACTGTACTATGTGACTGCTTGACTCTGGGAGGCAGTTCCACAGGAGAAGATCACAGCAGCTGAAGGCTCCAGCCCAGGCTGGCTTAAGGCTGTGCCTTTGATGAGCCAAGGAATACGTATTTTGGGAACTTAGGTAATGATTAAGAACATACAGAATACATACTGTAGATCCTGAACATAAGAAGGCTCCAGTCCATGAAGGACTTCAGAAGGACTATTTGTAGCTGCTTTAAGATCTATTCAAAATGTCATTGAAACCAATATAGAGGGACCTGCACACTTTGGAGTAGTAGAGAATCATATGGTACACAATACAGCCCTGTACTGTGCCATTGTGTGCTGTGCAGTACTGAACTGTGCTTTTCTATACTGTACTGTGCTGTAGTATACTGTACTTTACAGTAATGCCTTGTAGTATACCATACTATACTGTATTATGCTGTGCTCTGTAACTGCTTGACATTGCTGCTTGTTGTGCAGCTCTGCCGCCAATAAACAGCAGATGTTCCAGATGATGGATCCCTGCTTGCAGCAGATTCTCAATGCGGCTCACAGCTGTATGTTGTGTGAGCCTGGGCTGTGCCAACACACAGCTGGGCACCGTGTCAGAGAGTCAGGGCAGGAGAGGCCGAAGCTGGGAAAGGGATCAAACCAAGTGAAGCACTAGGCCTGTGTTCACCACACATTTGCTGCAAAATGGACGATGCAGTTCAGACTTTACTGTGCCTTTTATCCAAATAAAACCAGTTATATACAGTAGATGGTTTTATCCAACTGGTTTAAATTTGAACTTGGGGTTTTGTCTGTGTGTTTTGCATAATTATTTCTTTGACATTAAAATGGCCAGTTGTTTTTTTTTCTTGCGACCCCTTCAATTTTGAATTGACATTTTTTGGGGAAATGTGGAATCATCAATTATTTTTCTTTTGATACTCTTCCAATGTGAAGCTGCCAGCTGTCAATCAGCTTGGCTGTGCTCTGCGCGCCTCACAGCAGCACCCTGCAGAGCACTGGTCTGCTCTTCCTGCGGAGCTCCTGTCAAGACATCTGACCCAGTTCATCCTGCACCTTGCCTGTGGGAGCAGAATCTGCACCCCCAGCAAGAGCCTCGGGCCACCTGGGGGCTAGATCTCCGCTTTCTTAATCAACATGGCTGCAAGCAGCATCCCTCTCATTTACAGAGCACAGACAAGATCTGTATGCATCTGCCCAACAGGACACTTGTCCGGCCGGCCTCCAAATGAGTGCCTTTACTCAGAACCTCCGTTTCCATAATTATTTAACTGCTGTTTAAGATAAAGAAGGGTCAGCTTAAGAAATCTGAGCCTGAACCTCTCCAGACGAGAACAGCATGCCTGGATACCTGTGGTGAGAACATGTCTGGGTATAAAAGGAGAAGGTTTTGATCTGCATTTTAATACCGCAACAACATAACAGAAATAAGCTATGTAATTAGAATAATTAGTCATACTGCAAGGTGCTTTTATCTTAAAGTGACTCAGACAAAAGAAATAGTGGTTGAACTGGAATCAGCAGAGATGCCCACCAGCTCTGAAAAATGGAGCACAGGGAAGTCAGGGTGTGTCGCATAGAGAGTCCGTGGCACAGCCAGGGACTTGAACTAGAAACCCCTCATGTAAGAAGCCCTTTGCCCTAACCATTCAAGCCCAAAGCTTTGCCCAGCGCTGTACAAGTCAGGCCAGATGTGCAAATCCAGTACTGGCTCAGTGTGGGAGGAGCCTGAATACCTGTTTAGTCTGAATGCTCATTCAACATCACTGTCTGTCATTGTCCCCCCCACCCCCTCTTAGCTTCGCTCCCATTCCTACCCCAATTTATCAGGAGAGGCTGTTGACAATCTCCCAATATCCCATTAACCCCTATACACACAGCCTTATTAATGACTTCATGATTATCATCATCTCTCATCAGTCATCTCTCCCTCTCTGCTGAGACCTCTCAGCTCTGTATGCTCTCATCCCTGCCTGCATTTTTTTGCCGGTTGCACAAGCGCAATTGGATCACTAAAACTATCACTGTCATCAGGACAATCCAACAGATCGGAATTATGACTTCTGTAAAGTGTTTGGGGACACTTTCTCAGACCTTGTGTACAGACATGGCCATAAAAAGAGTATACTTCACATGCAGACAACAACAAGCAGGAACCAGATAAGCCAGCAACACTACAGATTCTGGTATAGCTCGTGTTTGTGTTCATTCCAAGTTCATTACTGAGAATGCGTTTCTAACATCTCTGGGCTCTGACCTACATATGAGATGTAAAACACAGGTCCTAACCAATAGCAGCTACTGATACAGTATTTGGTTCCTAATGTCTGTGTCTCATTCTGGCTGTTTCTCTGTGATAAATGATGTCTTAAATCTTTAAGTCATCCACTACTAAAGACCCATACAAATG